TGTGGAAAGGGAGGGGAGATGATGACAAAGGGGTAGGGGCGGGGGGTCCACAGAGAGGTTTAAAAAGGGGCAATTCTTAATATTCAGTTGTCTGTGTAGGTGGGTGGTTGGCGGGTGCTCTGGTGTGGTTTGCTCCTTCTTTCCTATCATACATCTGTCGTCCTGATCTCTCCTTCTGTTTTTTGCGTTTGTTACTCTCTTGTAACATCTCTAATCTTCGGCACTTATATGACCTTATTGTGTTGCAAGTGCCGAAAAACTAAAGGTTGTCTGTGTAGTATTTTATATACCCCTTTATTTCCTTTTTCCTGCTGTGGCTGGTTGGTTTGGGTGCTCTGGTGTGGTTTGCTACTACTTCTTTTCTGTCAAATATTTATCGATTGCCCATGTTGTCCCCTCATTGTTTTCTTTACTTTGTTATGTTACTCTCCTATAGCCTTTAATTTTCGGCATTTATATGGGTGACTTTATTGAGTTGCATGTGCTGTAAAACTTTTGCTAAAACCAAATCGTCTTCTCTTGGTAGGTGGTGGCATCTGTAGACGTTTCGCCTTCCCAAATAGTTCTCTTGGTATTTGAAGAGGCCCAGAAGTAGAATCATTCAAATATGTACATACAAAGTTTTCAGGTCAAGGAGTTGTGCATTTGACGCGAGAAGCTGTCGGACTGAGAGGAATAAAGAACTCTGTCACGTACCTCTTACCACAAGTCTCTTCTCTTCCATTCCTCCCTTTTTTTCTTCTTCTATTCCTTTCTTTTTTCTACCTTACTTTCCTCCCTCCTCAAGTGTGACGCCTTGTATGCGGTGAGCCTTTTCGTGTTTAGCACGGCGTGAATCTGTAACCAAACTCACAGATTTTGACTTCCTTTCCTCATTCCCCCCGTCTTTTCTTCCTTTCCTCCTTTCCCCTCCTTTCTTCTTCTCCTCTCCCTTCTTTTCCCCACCCTTTCTTTTCCTCTCCCTCTCTCCTTTCGTACCTCCCTCCGTTCTTCTTTGCATCCCTCCTGTCTCTTTTCCTCCGTCCTTTCTATCCCTCCCCCGTTCCTTTCGTCCCTCCTTCGTTCCTCTCCTATTCCCTCTCTCCCCCACTCCTCCCTCCTCAAGTGTGACGCCTTGCGCTCGCTGTGTTTAGTTCGGCATGAATCTGTGACCAGATTCAGAGAGGCTGGGCTAAAGGGGG